AGGGGTGGTGGAGGTTCGCGTTTCTTCTTGTGTTGTGGCAGTGCTGGTGGAGAGGTGGAGGTTGAGGATGCTTGTGAAAGGGCACGCTGTGGTGGTGCATGTTTGATGGGGGCGACAGGAGCCGAATCACAGGAGGACGTGGGAGAAGGGATAGGAACTGCTGTGAGGGGAGCTGGAGGGAGGGCCGGAAAAGGTCGGTGAAAGTGGGGGTCGACCTGCTGTGTGTGGACAAGATAGAGGCTGTGTAAGCTAGCCAGGATGTCAGTCGCTTGCTGGAGTATACGATGAAGTTGATTGAGAGCAATCGTAGTTCGATGGATAAGTCGAGCCTGGTCGGCATGAGACTGCATCTTGAGGGGCAGCGTCGAAGTCAGGCAGCTGAAGTGATATGCTAGAGCAGCGGATGGCGCAGCGCAGGTGTCAGCAGTGCATGAGCGGCCGGTGCAGACATGCGAGGCATGCAATTGAATTACGAAAATGAATTATTGAGCACGAAGTTTGCAGGACAGATAAAGATACATAGTGGGTGGCTGAAACAATACAGCCTGAAAAGAAACAAAAGCAGTTCATCCTTGCATGAAAAGAAGAAAATTGTCGACAAAATTCCGCAATTCGCAAAACCTGAAAAGAAACTGAGCGATCATGCACCAAAAATTGATCAAAAAGCAAAATGAGCACCAAAACTGGCTGCTGGTTAGAATACTTGCAAGCTATGTACAACGAGAGTAAAATGCAATACATGGGAGCATAATGCAGTGAGAAAAGGCTGGAGCTCGGATTTTGCAACGCTGGAGTTGGTGGCCAATGTGAAACTCACGGAAGGGCCTCTCTCAAGTGCGTGGAGTTGGTGTTGGTGTTGGAGAAAGTGGATAGGTCTGTGGTAGGTGGCGGAACCTCAAAGGTCCGGAGGGGTTGCATTGATAGACCACGCCAGTCCTTTGACTATGGCGTTATGGGGGTGAATCACCCAGCATCGGGCTTTTGAGTGGCAAAAAGCGCCATGGTCTTGTTGCAAGAGGTGCATGGCTTGGGCTTCGCCGCCGCTGGTAAATTTGGTCCCTCGACCCCAGGCGAGGAGATGGACCATGATAGAATGGATGTTCTTCGCCAGGTTCCACGTGTTGTGTAGTACGCGGGCCTGTTCGTAGTTGTCGTGGATTGACTGGTGAGTAATGCGTGTGGCTTGGGCAAAGAAACCCGGATTGGTGTCAAAATGTAGGGTGCTGGGCAGAAACGGCCCTGTTGGAGAATGGCGGTGATGTTGCCGTGGGGGCCTGTATGGCCGGCGTTGATGTGCACTGCAAACTGGGAATGTTGTTACAGTGATAGGAAAAGGTGTCATAAGTATTGGTGGTGTCATTCCACTTCACATGGTTGAGTTGACGGAAGTCTGCCAAATCATCGATGGTGTAGCCGATGTCAGCGAGCATTTTGGCTACATATGCGTGTTGTGGTTTGTTCTCTGCCTCCAATTGTGTAGCGTGAAAGTCAAGCCACCATGCAATCTGTTCTTGGTGGGGGAGCTGGTGGAAATGTGGTGGGTGTGGCTTCCAAGGCGGATGAGGCCGTTGTATTGCTGGAATGTTGGGGAATTCTGCTTGGAACATGTTTGTGATGTGGTGCTGAGGTGTAGACTGCTGATTGGGTCGGAGGGTGATGGGTGCATGGGAGCGGCTGCGGGAGCAGCTGTCTGAAGATGTGGAATATAGAGGTTGAAGGGGAACGGCGACGCCGACGGCGTGTCGACGACGCTTTAGCAGTGGAGGCTGCAGGAGAGCGATGACTTCTGGCGTGCTTAGCACGTGTATGGCGACTGTGGTGGCGGCGACGGCGTCGGCTGCGGCATCTGCTGCGGTTGGTGCGGCCAGTGGTTGCATGAGAGGCCGGTGTTGTGAGAGATGTGCCTGAACGGATGGGAGCAGCCTCGAGAGGTTGCTTGTGAGGCCCTGGAGTGGGCATGGAAGGTGCTTGCGTTGGGGACGGTGGTGGTGGTGGTAGTGGTGGAACGGTGGCTGGTGGTGGAGCAAAGTGAATGGCTGGTGACGTGGAGGGTGGCGTGGCAGTTGTATCAATGGTGGCCTGAGTAGGATTGGCTGGTGGGGGGACGTGCGAAACGTCCGGAGCGGGCGGCGTGGGTGCCCCCGCGGCGCGGGGGGTGTTGGAGCCGAAGGAGCAACGGTGGGTGGGGCTGATGCTTGATGTGGCGATGGGTGAGCAACAGGTGGAAAGAGAGAGTATGGCTGCCAGACGCCTTGAAGGTGGTCGCCATGAACAGGAGCTTGCTGGATATGTGGTTGTGGTTGTGGTGCTTGCAGAGCTGGTGGAGCCGATGGGGCTGGTGATGCCTGTTGCATAGAGGGTGGGTGGTGGAAAGGTTGTGCTGGCATGGTTTCAAAAGTCTGCATCTGAGGTGGTGCTGGATAGGGGTGTGTGTGAGGTACAAAGGTTGGTGCCGGTGGAGGATGTGTTGGCATAGGATGTGGCCACGTAGGAGGTGGCAGTTGTGGTGGAGCGGTCTGAAAGCGAGGGAGGAGTGATGGTTGTGGTGGATGAGATAGAACAGCGGGGACAGGTGCTGGTGGTAGAGAATGGTGCCATGGTGGTGGTTGAGTGCTGACAGTGGGTATTGTGGATGCGGTACACGGTGGTGGCCATTGTGGATATGGCCAGGGAAACTGCATAGGACCAGCGATGGAGAGGTCAATCCGAAAAGGCTGCGAACAATGGCGCCGGCGCGGCACAGCAGCGGAGGTGAAAGAGTTGAAAATGGCAGTGAATTCTGGAACCTGACACTGCGTGCTGTGACAAATGAATTAGGTGGAATCTCGGCATGCAGTGGAATCTCGGGAATGTGAGCATGTGCAAGTTGAGCTTCGGTCAAATGGCTGCGGGTTAAAAATTGGGAAATGCAATGAATCAACGTCATGACAGTCACGATAAAGTCCTTCGTTTATAGCCCGGCGGCTCGAAAATCAGGGAATTCAGAGATAAATTGAAGGAACGAAAGATCAGTTATAAACAAGCAGGAACGATGAAATCCGGAATGGCGTCAGCGCCTCCTTTCGGAGGGTCACACCCAGTACCCACGTGGGAAGACTGAGCGGTCCATACTTCGAACTTGGGTTTTCAGTTAGACTCAATTGCCACGTTGGGAAGGAAGGTGAGGGAACGGAAAGGCGCATAATTCCGCAAAAAACCGTATGGTTGAACATTGTTTCGATCTGTACAGTCGATGCGGTGATGAGCACAGCTGAGAAACGCAGTGGGAAACCTGTTTATGGGAGGAAGCATGCAACCACCATGAATCAAAAAAGACAGATTGGAAACAGCGTGATCCAACAGTTGTCGCAGGTACAGGAATGTGCGTCCACATTCCCTTCCGGCTGAGTCCCATAGCTTCGTTGGCATGGCTAGGGAAACAGCTGCCATGCCCCCTGCCTGTGGAAAAGTGGTGAAGGTGGGGAAACCCTTAGAACCAGGGGGTGACACACACACACACATGTTACATACATCCCCTCCCTGCCCCCCACTTTCTTTCTTGCGCTTTTCGTCGTGTGTTCTTTTGGGCTTTCTCTCAGGCTTTTTGGGTGGTTCTTGGGGCTCATTTCCCTACTTCAGTCAAGGGCTAAGTATTCCCTTTTGGCTACTCCTATCTTTCTCTCCTGCCCTTTTAGCGCTGCTCTTTCTGTTGTTCTTTCTTTCTCTTCTAAGGCCAGAGCGCCGCAAAGCGGCTGAGTGTGTGTGCCACACTCTGTTTTCAACACGCAGCGGGACGGGACACCACTGGCACCGCCCGTCCAACGAAGAGGGTGCCAGTCGGTGCTGATGCAGTGGGGGACGCTCCGCTGTGTATCTGCGAGAATTTTTGAGAAAGCTGTGACTCCACTTCTCCATTTTTTTGGTTCATGGTCCTTGCACGATCCTCCCCAAAACCTTTTCCTGCCGATGAGCCGCGCCGTTCGTTTCGCCACCGCCGTGTCGTGAGCTGTAGATGAGCGTAAACTGCGTAAACCTTTGTTAAACAATACTTTTCTGCGGACCTTGCCACCTTTCTGTTCCATCGCCCTTTTCGACCTGGGAATTGAGTTAACTGCAAACCCAATATCAAAGTGTGTGGGTCAACTTAAGCCATCAGGCGTTGAGGGAGGTAGAGAGAATTCGAGCGATGAGGTTGGGTCTGTTTGTGCACTTTACACGAACACAGACGTTCACTTGAAGCGGGGCATTGGCAAAAGATTTGCCTGCCACTGATCTATGTCTTCATTTGCGTGTGACAGTGCCAAACCCTGTTTTTGAGCTTCAGGCCTGCTCCTTCTTTGTCTACACTGCCTGTAACTTTAAAGATAACTTCGGTTGCCTTTGCCTTCGTGGAGAGGAGTTGGAGCAGCCTCCTCGATTGCAGTTAACACATGGAGAGTGACACGTCAGCTCAAGGAAGGGTTTGCAATGAAGAATGTGCATCCGAGAGAAAAAGAGGATTGCCCCGGCTTTGAACCATCAAGTTTGCAAGGTATGAAGAATGTGGACATCCGGTGCTTTCTGCCGTGTTCTTGCCTGAAGCCCCAGTCATCGCCTGTGGGCTCCGCACCATTGGCTGAACAGTAGCAGTTGATGAATCGTTCTGAAAATCGTTCTGAAAATCGTTCTGAAAATTATCATCATTTACATTCTATAAGGGCGTTTAATCCAAGACGTTGATTTTGAATTTTCCAATACCGGACGTCAAAAACTGATACCCATTGGCGAATGGTGTCGTATCCAAAAATGTCTTTGGAAACCGATTTGCACACCCTGCAAAACGATACCAGCAGATACTTGCAGCGGCCGTGTGCAAAACGCAGTAAAAACGATGCGGGGAATCCTAACATTGAATGAATCTGAATATATACTTGCTTTAAATAAATATATATAAAGCAAATATTGTATATTATATTTCAACAATTGTATATGGGCCGTGGGAAGTGAAGGGGATGACCGATTTGATGTGGGTCCTTGACCCCATGGGCGGTGTTGGTAACATCGGCGGTGTTTTGGTTCGGAATTGGTCCACGAAGAACTGTTCAGTGCTGCTGACTTCGTCCTTCAGGTAATGGCGACATCATCCTTTGGGACTTTGAAGTGAAGGCAAGACGAAAACTGGTGAAGATGCCCTCAGCAGTGAATGCCCTTTCAGTGAACCTGGTGTCTTGGAAGTCAGTCTTTACATTTACATGTCTTTACACATGTGTATGCGAGTTGAGTACATGATGGACAGCCTGAAAAAGACCTAAACAGGAAGTTTGTAGACAGATCTATGACCGGTGGAGAAACGCCCTTGACATGTCGTGTGAGATCTCGAAGTGTGCCTTAAGCCTTACCCGGTTTCAACAGGTTCCGACGCGGACGCGTGCATGGGCTGGCTGCAACCAAGATTCGGGGGGGGCGAAGATTCGGTGGGTTACGAGTAATGAAGGGGGGATTTCTGACATGTCCAAGAGACACATCAAAAAAGGAAACACCCCGTTCTGAACATGAAACGGCAAAAGTTTCCAGTTTCTGAGAAAATGTCCACTTGGTCTCCCGGGGTGTTGTCCTCATTGCAGAAACCAATGCTCACCACACCCAGTACTGGTCTCTGAGGTTCGAGGAGAGCTCATCGCTGGAGACAAGAGTGGACAACTTGGCACTTGGCCGCTGGGCAGCGTCAAACGTGCGGCCGTTGCCACGGCGATGGCCTCATCCACCATGGCAGAAGCCCTGAGAATTCTTTTACCTTGCGTGAAGATACCGTCTTTCCCCAGCCGGTCAGACTCGAGCTTTGTGAGTCCATGTGATGGAAATGGGCAATAGGCTAATACTATCTAATGCACCAACAGACCAGATTGATGCATGCCTATTCTGAATTCTGCTCGTCACACCTTTCTGGTCCAACAATCTCCAACATGCTTGCTTTTGTGGTTCTATCATGGTGTCGTTCTGCCAGACATTGCTGGAGATTTCGGGGCGAGTGAAGAACAAATCGGCTATATCCTTAGCTTGGTCGCCGATCTCAACGACAGGAGGGCTTCTGATGAGGGATTAAGCGACCAGCTCCATGTTGACCATGAATAAGGCAAATGCAAGTAGAACGCGTACCCTCATGCAAGTGAATGAAGTCCCGCAGGCAACACAACTGTCTGCCCAGAATCGTTCCCTTGCTGAATAGCGTTTGACATACAATATGAAGATTCACACATAGTGAGGAATGGGTTGGACTAATTTATTACCCGGAACTCATAAATGATATTTAGTTTGAGTCAAAAGGATAGTCTTTTCAATCCTTGTCAGTTCAAAAGGGAAGTGGAATAATAACATGTTCTTTGACTTAAGCAACGGATTAAGATACATGTTTGAACAACAATGTTTGATTTTTTGATGTTCATGTTGTTTTTGTTTTTTTTACTTATTTCAGTTAAAAGCTGCATCATATAGATAATTGATGATCATTGCATCATCAAGTAATAAAACAAGGCAACAATACAATTATCCATGGTTTTGGACGAGAAACCATTATATAAAACAAGTACAACTTGACTATGAACAAATTGCTTCCCGGGAGGAACACATCCATCAGAAACCGAAGTTGGTAGCGTACACAAGATGTACAACATATATTTAAGATACACTTGTAAGAATACTGTATTATTAAATGTACTGAAACTACTATAAAAGGTGATCAATGAATATCTAAACATATTTAGTAGTAATTGGTTCTCAGTAAATATCTTTGCAATCAAATGTAGTGCAAGAAATACACATGATTGTAGCACGACACCCTGCTATAATATAATGTTAGGAAAGTACAACGGGATAGAAACTATATATTTAAATAAATAAGTAAATAAATAAATAAATATATATATATATATATTAATAGTACTATTAATAGTTACCTTTCATCTTAAAAGTCAGAGGCAGGTTGACACAAGTTACACACGTTTAAAGCAATCTGGATGAAACATATGCTGTTGAAATCTATTTCCAACCTTTGCAGTTTGTTTAATACCGGTACAAAATAGCCAGAATTGTTTTCTTAAAAAGGATTTGCCATATAACTATTGTTTCTAGTTTGATTTACGTTCAAATAAACATATTTCCATAATTATCTATCATACAAATACTGAGTTCTAACATAAAGACATCATTTCAAAAATACCCGTCACTAGTGTATAACTCTTTTTTGACAATGTCAGTACATTTAGATGCCACGTTTTCTCTGCATTAATGATATACGCTATATCAACTAGTACAGTATATCGTTTATCTGTTGTTTGTGTGGGAACCGTGAAACACTTTAATCAACTTATTGTTAAAACACCATGTCCGCTTTCTATCAAACTTATATTCGTTGGATTCAGTTGGTATCATTTTTTTCGTCATGTGTATTGTATTTTACTACTTACACACACAAAACAAAACAACATAAAGCAACTATATATTCTCAATGGAACGTGTTCTTCGTCGAAACATATCTTGACATATCTTCTTATAGTGTTGGTTATTTTCATGGATATTTCCTTGCCTTAGGCCGTGACGGGTCTTCCATGTTCGTAGACCTCTGACCACCCAGGCCATTGGCATTCCTGTTGTCAGACTGATCCGATTGATGTGGAGCAGACCGTGCCGCTGCTCCGCTCGGCGGTTGCGGCGCAGACCGAGCGCGTGCGCGAGAAAAAGGGCAGTTGACGGTGGATTTCTGGCACGGTGGACGTAAGCAGAACCTGATAGAACCTGAATATCATAGGAAGTTTGAATTTCTACCAACTTCTGAATTTCTGGCACAGTTGGTTTCTAATCATTTAGGCATGGACCGATGGAGGTGATATCACCAATCCACATTTTGTTTTGCTTCAGCTTCCTTCTTGGACAATCGACGTGTCCAATCGATGTGTCCAATCCATGACGAATCGGAGAGGCATGCCTGCTAACCTTGGCGGTCAAGGTACAGCCGGAAGGCCCAGGAGTAGGGCATGTGCAGCCCAGACATGTCCCTTTCATGGAGACATCTTATGGGTATAATATGGGGACAGTACTTGAAATTGGAGGTTTGGGATCGTTTTGTCATCCCAATTGAATGGTCATAGCGAGTCTATTAGGTTCTTGGAATACTCGAGTGGCCTACCCATTTTCCCTCGATCCCGTAGTAGAGCTTGTGGAACTAACAGCATTTGGGTACACATTTCTCAAATCACCTGATCTTGTCGATCGCTTCCCGTACCGAGGCGTGGATGGAAACATGCACTGAGAATCAGCCGTACACGCTTGCGGGTACGGCAGCGGCACAGCAAAGGATTTGGCAGGGGGCCCTGGAGTAAGCGCAGTTTGCATCAATACCGCCTGTTTAGCCTCAGATCAAGCCTGATGCATTCACAGTTGGTGCCGTCAGTAAGATAGCTCATGTATGCATTCTGGCCCTCTGAAAACAAGGACCGGGCGGAAAGGGGCGGCCTAACCCAGCTCTTGAGTACATGGTTGACCTAGATTCCAAAGGGTTGCTTTGCTGCAGGCCGACCTTCGCTTGCAAGCGTCAATTTCCTCCAAGAATAAACTCTGGATGTTTCCGCGGGTTGGCCAGGTTTCCCTGGCGGGAAGCCTGTGCATTCATGGACCAAAGACTTGAATGCTGCCGGGTGCCTCAGATTCCACCGGATAGAGGGCCAATGAATGGGGCCACCTTCCACCGGCAAAAGATGTGCAACAGATGCTTCCGGCTAATTACGCCCCAAGGCCCAAGGTCTTCGTCTAAACATGTCTAAACAAGATGGGAGTTGGCTCATGTTGGTTTCAGAGTTTGGTGCGTTGAGCAGGACGGTGGTGGGTTGTTACATTGTTAGATTGAGACTTGAGACATGTCGCAACAACTTGACATGTGCAACGATGGTAGTTATGATTTAGGATCTTTATGATTGCACGCCATTTTATCCTATATTATATATACATACATACTACACACTGAATAACATGCATCGAGCCAAATTTGAATCGACTGTGGGTCGACGCTGATCTACCACCATAATTACTTGGATTGGTGAACCCTGCAGTGGCTATTTGTTTTTACTTATTACATTGTTCGGCTGTTCACCTCAACATTGGGGTTTCGACCCGCAGTCAAGTCATGTCCATGTTTGTGTCTTAACACACAAGCAGATGCTTTGCTGGCTCAGTATGCGATACCTTTACCAGCTGGTGGTTGCACTGTAGAGAACATCGATTCGCATTTGGTACGGATGCAGCATTTGGTACGGAACAGCTGCCACTTGCATCATGTTCTATATTTTTTTGTGTTTCTTCTTTTTCATTACCTTTCAAAGTTGCTGCCCTGTATCCAACTGGTTCAGTGGGATTTTGCATGCTTTGCACTCTCTTCAATTCAATACATGCCACCTCAAACATAGCTTTTGCATGATTTTGCCAAGCCTGATTTGTTGATATGTTTTGCTGCTCCAACACTGGCAGGTCCATTTATCATCCAACTTGAAGGCAGGTTTGGTGGGAAGCAGCTGTCTCAACAATGCCATGAGTACGCGGAGGAAACGCCATACAGAAGGCAGTGTTATGCCTTTGCACAGCACTGAATTTGCATGGTGCAGCGGCTAGTTTCGTATGGCAAGATGAATGTTCTTTCTAGACTGGTGCGACCGGGTTCCAACACTGTCCAGCTGCAGAAGGGTCGAAAGGGAGGATGCCTTTTGTTTGCTCCGAGCAGTCCGGGAGTCTTGCAGGACTGGCTGTGTCACTTGGATCCTGAAGTCAAAGAGGCTCGAGTTTAACGTAAAGCTTTCGGGCCTTGTCCTATCAGAGACACCTTGATGCAAGAGCCCTATTTCACCTGGATTTGCAGTTTACAGATAAGACAGCTTGCCACAGCTTGATTCCAAAGTGCGCTTGCTTGTGCAAGCTTTTTGTATAATTGGAATGCGTGTTTTTTTTTCGCCATATATATACATACAAGGTTCTATTGTGTTCTATCTGTATAGTGCACACCTGACATGGCATGTGTAAAGACAGTAGGTGAAGCCAACCAAGCCATAAGAGTTTGGTGTTTCCACTCTGGTGGCATTAGGTTGGAGGCCATCACTATTGGGTCGGAGGCCATCACTATTAGGTTGGAGGCCATCACTATTGGGTTGGAGGCCATCGCTATTAGGTTGGATGCCATCACTATTAGGTTGGAGGCCATCACTATTGGGTTGGAGATCGCTATTAGGTTGGTGGCCATCACTATTAGGTTGGAGGCCATCACTATTAGGTTGGAGGCCATCGCTATTAGGTTGGAGGCCATCACTATTAGGTTGGAGGCCATCGCTATTAGGTTGGAGGCCATCACTATTAGGTTGGAGGCCATCGCTATTAGGTTGGAGGCCATCACTATTAGGTTGGAGGCCATCACTATTACGTTGGAGGCCATCACTATTAGGTTGGAGGCCATCACTATTAGGTTGG